GTTTTTGTCTAGCAATCTATGCACCACCATTAGGCCCCGCCCTTGCGGACAATCATCCTACGCCCATTGTTTAAAATGGAAAGGCAATTTTTCCCAGATTGTAAATTAGCTTTTAACCTATTTTGAAACTCTTCAGCTCAATCGCACATTTTGCAATCTCAAAAGGATCAATAGTACGGAATGGGGTCTAATCGCGCTGAGTAAACCTTTAGTCCTAATTATAATTTCCTTTTGTAATGATTCAACCCTGTGTGTAGATCTGTACAAGCATTTGTTTAAGTACTTAAGTGTAAATAATGGTCAAGCTAAGAAGTAGCTTGTAGAAATCGAAAAAGCTAAAGTTGCAACATGTAGAGGGAAGCTAATAATCTTAGAACTCATCTCCTTCGTTTGCGCATTTGAGTCACCAGCTTTTTAGGAACTCAAACGCGACTAAACACATACAATGGAAAGAGAAATATGGTAGTGGCAAAGATTATCGAAATTCTGTTTCCAACACCTTAGCAGAAAGGTGATTTGAAAGAAGGCCGTTGTGCATAATGATGCATGTCTTGAAAGTATTAAATTGTTTCTAAAATAAATAATTGTATTTAAAGGAAACGTGGGAAGATGTCGATGTGTAAAATTAATGGAATAGGTCACTCTGCAGATTGAATGATTGTTTGAAAGCCAGAAATACTTTTAACCAAGAAAGGTTCAGTGATGTGTCTTGCAAAAATAGGTTTTGCTCTTTGACTTTCACACCTCCACATTAGTTTTTTCTGAATCCTTCGTTGTGATTTGTACTGTGAATGTGTTCTGTTTGCTAGAAACGACAACAAATCTACCATATCGAGTCAAGCTGTGCCTGTATCTTCGCTCTACGAAGAACCTCCAGAAGAGGAACCTATGAACAACAACAAATCTACCATATCGAGTCAAGCTGTGCCTGTACCTTCGCTCTACGAAGAACCTCCAGAAGAGGAACCTATGAACAACAACAAATCTACTATGCTGAAGAAAGCTATGCCTGAGTTATCGCTGTATGAGGAACCACCCGAGGAGGAGCTCAAAATCAATGCAAACTCGTACTACGATCTACCTCCTGGTCCATCATCGTCATCGAATCAACTCTACGATGTACCACCAGTCTTAGAGGAAAACACACATCAATTCAATAAGCTTTCTGAGGTGAAAAACGCGAAAACAAACAA